TGGATTTGCCCACTGTTGCCTTTCAAGGTACAAAACTACTCATTTGTCTGGGTTGGGCTATTTTTTTCCCTTCACAATCCCTGAGGGCTGTCTGTCTGCAGTTCTTAGGTTTTTGCTCAACCTTTTTTAATTGGATTTCATCGTCCAATATTGTATAGGTTTTGACTTCAGTATTTCACAGCCACATTCAGGCTTTCAGAATCTTGGAGGCAGAAACAAGCCACCGAAGTCATCCGCTGGGAGCCCACCCACACCTGTTCTTGCTCTTGGGGGACTTGTTCCCAGAGGACTTTAAGGCTGGAGAAGCGGCTCTAAAAAAAATCAGTTATTCACAATCAGCACAGTCTTGGGAGGAAACCTATCCTCACCTTAGCAAAGGCCACCGTGACATCTCTTCTGGATATTTTCGGGGTGGAAGTGACAGTGTTGACATGGTACAGATAAGCTCCTGGGGGCAGAGCAGAGTGGGAGGGAGGGCCCGCTGTCCTGTCCCCCCCACCCCCACCCAGTCCTGTGGGCTTTGGCAGAGCCTTCAGGAGAGAGAAGTGAAGCCCAAAGCTGACTTTCCAAGGAATTCAGGGAAACTCCAGGACACCTCAGGACCCCACACAAAGTGGGGAGGGAGAACCAGGCCTGGGCATGGGCACTGTGCTGCCCCCCAGACACACAACAGCAGTGGGGCTCTGCCCTCTTGCAGCTCTCAGAGCTTGGACAACAGCCCCAGAGGAAGGTGCGAAGAATGAAATAGGGCAGAATGGGTCTTGAGCTGACAAGCGAGGGGCCCACAAATTACCAGCACAGAACAGGAGGAATCTGGAGATTCTGTAAGATGCAAGTGTGGTGATAAGGCAGGGATGTTCCATGAAGTTCTTATTATTAGAGCATCTTCATATGAACCCGCAGACTGACGCCTGAGAAATTCCAATTTTGCTGGTGGGCAGGATTTCTCTCCCCTAGAGCCACCCCAGAATCCCATTTCCCTACCAAGTGTGTCTTCTGTCTCCCCACTGACATTTGGGAGTCCATGGACCTACATGTCACCTCCCCGTATTACTGTTTTTCCCTCTGCTTGAAGACAGACAGGATGTCTGCTCCTGTGGTGAGGAGAGGCACTCCCTTCCTCGCCCTCCTCCTGGTAAAAGGCATTAAAACCTGTTGTCTGTTTATATGCTAGTCGAAAGCACATCCTCAGAGTCCATAGCACATCCGTTTACCTTACTCCCAAAGCCAACATGTGCTGAGGCCTAGAGGAGAAGCAGCTCCAAACTCCAGGCAATTTACAAGGGACTAGTCAGTGATGTGCATCACAAGGACGAAACTTAGAGAAAACATTGTCCTTGTTGTACAGACAGGAATGACAAAAAAATCCAATTTGGGCTGGTGAAACAGTTCTGGAGATGGACAGTGGTGACAGTCACACAAGATGAATGTACTTAATGCCACTGAAAACTTTTAAATCGCTAAAAGGGTAAAATTTTTGTTATGGGAAGTTTTACCAATTTTTTTTTTTTATTAAAAGACATCAAAGGACTTCATTCTGAGCCTGTTTTCTTTAGTGGACTGGAAAAGAAAAAAGAGTCATGGATATGCAATCCTGGACATGCCCTTCCTAGTAATCTAACATTTTTTCCAAAGTGTTCCCTATTGTATAAATCTATTCAGATTTCTTTGATCCTGAAATTTTGGCAGACGTTGACATGTGTAACAAAGATGTGTTCAGAGGCATTGTTTAAATTTTTCTCAAAATGCTTTGTTCTTTGAAAGGGTAGCAGACCCTTTAATCGAGGCTGGGAACAGATTCAAACTCTCTTAATGGGACAGAAAAATATGTCTCATCAGAGACATACAGAGAGTGGAGGTCTTAGCCTTCTTGAGCTTCATTACTGAGAAGGGTGCCCACCCAGGGTGCCCACGTGCCCACCCACCCCTCTCCGTTTTTCTGAAGGAAGAGAAGAAGGAAGCAGGGGACTCTGTTGCAAGGCATGCACACGAATTTGTGCAAGCACCCCAGGAAGAGTGAAACCGGGAAAAGATAACACTTCCCTGAGAATCAGTGGCCATGAGCACCTTGACCCTGGATTTACCTGAAATGGGTTTTTCCATCCTTAAAGTACTTATTACGGGCTTGCTTTTAAGGGCACTTCATTAGCTCATAAATTAGGTAATTAAAAAAGTCATTACTACACAGTGAAGTAGTACTTTTTTGGAAGGTTTCCAAGCCTGGGGAACCAGAATGCTTCCACGTGCCACCGAGCTGGACAGCTCTTTCGTTCAGGACCTCGCCCTGTGTATCTCATCTGGACATTGATTGTTATCCTTTATCATGTCCTTTAATAAGTTGGTGAATGTTAAGTGAAGTGTTTCCCTGAGTTCTGTGAGTCACTCTAGCAAATTAGCCAAACCTTAGATGGAGTTCATTTGGGGCCTCCAATTTGTAACCAGTCAGTCAGAAGCCTGGGGCTTATGACTGGCATCTGAAGGGGGGTTGGTATCTTGCAGAACTGAGCCCTCCACCTGTGGGATCTGATGCTGTCTCCAGGTAGTGTCAGAATTGAGCTGATGAACTTAATAGCATGAAGCTGAAAGCTTTTCCCCTGAGATAGGGAACAAGACAAGGATGCCCACTCTCCCTGCTTTTATTCAACATAGTACTGGAGGTCCTACCCATGGCAGTCAGACAACACAAAGAAATACAAGGCACCCAGATTGGTAAGGAAAAAGCCAAACTGTCACTATTTGCAGATGACATGATGTTGTACATAATAAGCCCTACAGAATCTACTCCAAAACTACTAGATCTAATATCTGAATTCAGTAAAGTTGAAGGATATAAAATTAATACACAGAAACCTGTTGCACTTCTATACACTAACAATGAACTAGCAGAAAGAGAAATTAGGAAAACAATCCCATTCACAATTGCATCAAAAAGAATAAAATACCTAGGAATAAACCTAACCAAGGAACTGAAAGACCTATACTCTGAAAACTACAAGACACTCTTAAGAGAAATTAAAGAGGACACTAATAAATGGAAATTCATCCCATGATCTTGGGTAGGAAGAATTAATATGGCCAAAATGGCCATCCCACCTAAAGCAATCTACCGATTCAATGCAATCCCTATCAAATACTGACAACATTCTTCAACAAAGTGGAACAAATAGTTCTAAAATTCATATGGAACCACAAAAGACTCCATATAGCCAAAGCAATCCTGAGAAGGAAGAATAAAGCAGGGGGAATCTCACTTCCCAACTTCAAGATCTACTACAAAGTCACAGTAATCAGGACAATTTGGTACTGGCACAAGAACAGACCCATAGACCAGTGGAACAGAATAAAGAGTCCAGATATTAACCCATGCATATATGGTCAATTAATATATGATAAAGGAACCATGGATATACAATGGGGAAACTACACCCTCTTCAACAGCCAGTGTTGACAAAACTGGACAGCTACATGTAAGAGAATGAAACTGGATTATTGTCTAACCACATATACAAAAGTAAACAAAATGGATCAAAGGCCTGAATGTAAGTCATGAAACCATAAAACTCTTAGAAAAAAACATAAGCAAAAATCTCTTGGACATAAACATGAGCAACTTTTCATAAACATATCTCCCCAGGCAAGGGAAACAAAAGCAAAAAATGAACAAGTGGGACTTTATCAAACTGAAAACTTCTGTAGAGCAAAGGACACCATCAGTAGAAAAAAAAGGCATCCTACAGTATGGGAGAATATATTCATAAATTACAGATCTGATAAAGGGTTGACATCCAAAATATATAAAGAGCTCACGTACCTCAACAAACAAAAAGCAAATAATCCAATTAAAAAAGGGGCAGAAGATCTGAACAGACACTTTTCCAAAGAAATTCAGATGGCCAATAAGCACATGAAAAAATGCTCCACAATGCTAATCATCAGAGAAATGCAAATTAAAACCACAATGAGATATCACCTCACACCCGTTAGGATGGCCACCATCCAAAATACAAACAACAACAAATGTTGGCGAGGTTGTGGAGAAAGGGGAACTCTCCTACACCGTTAGTGGAAATGTACATTAGTTCAACCATTGTGGAAAGCAGTATTGAGGTTCCTCAAAAAACTAAAAATAGAAATACCATTTGACCCAGGAATTCCTCTCCTAGGAATTTACCCTAAGAATGCAGCAGCCCAGTTTGAAAAAGAGATATGCACCCCTATGTTTATCACAGCACTACAATAGCCAAGATATGGAAGCAACCTAAGCGTCTATTAGTAGATGAATGGATAAAGAAGAGGTGGTACATATACACAATGGAATATTATTCAGCCATAAGAAGAAAACAAATCCTACCATTTGCAACAACATGGATGGAGCTAGAGGCTATTATGCTCAGTGAAATAAGCCAGGCAAAGAAAGACAAGTATCAAATTATTTCACTCATTTGTGGAGTATAAGAACAAAGAAAAAACTGAAGGAACAAAGCATCAGCAGACTCACAGAACCCAAGAATGGACTAACAGTTACCAATGAGAGAGGGACTGTGGAGGATGGTTGGGAAGGGAGGGATAAGGGGGAAAAACGGGCATTATGATAAGCACACATAATGTTGGATGGGGGGGGCACAGGGAAGGTAGTATAACACAGAGAAGACAAGTAGTGATTCTATAGCATCTTCCTACACTGATGGACAGTGACTGTAATGGGGTATATGGTGAGGATTTGATAAAGGGGGGAGTCTAATAACCATAATGTTGCTCATGCAATTGCACATTAATCATACCAAAATAAAAAAAACACACACACATGCAAAAAGAATTGAGCTGATGATTTTTGCTTGGTGTTGTGTGCAGAGGACTCTCCCGATCCCCCAACCTCCACACACACATTGGAATTGGGCTCAGAACCTATTCAGGTACCAATCTGTATGAGCTTCCTGCCACTGATGTACTAAATCCTCACAAGTTAGTAATTTGTACAACACAAATGTATTATTTTTCAGGTCTGAAGGTCACAAGCGAGCAACGTGTATCCCTGGTCTAAAATCAAGATGCAGACTGGATTGTGCTCCTTCCGCGCACTCTAGGGAGGACTCCATCTCCTTGTCCTTTTGATCAGCCCGCACTCCTTGGCTCATGGCCTCTTCCTCCATCTTCAAAGCATTGCATCTCTCTGTGTCTTTCTTCTGTAGTCACATTTTTTTAAGTCTCTCCTGCCTCCCCTGTCCACTTTTTTTTTCCTTGTCCACTTTTAAAGACCTTTGTGATTACATTGGACCCACCTGGATAATCCAGGGTCATCTTCATATCTGAAGGTACTTAATCACACCCACAAAGTCCCTTTTACCATATCAGGTAACACATTCCAGGTATTAAGATGGGGGCATCTTTAAGGGCCCTTATTCTGTCCTCCTCACCAAACCAGATTGAAGGCACAAGCTAAGTTCCCAAAGGAGGGACCCTTCAGTGAGACCCTTCCAAGATTTTTAAAAACTGAAATGAATCCCTTGTTAAATTAAAATATTCAAGCCCAGTGCTACCAATTAACAGCAAATCCCTACTAATCTGGAATCATTCATAGTTATAAAGAGATGATGAGTTTGTCTGAACTGGCAGAATCAGTGTGAAAGTTTTTGTGCCCCATGTAGCAGTTCCTCAAAAAAATTAAAAATAGAATTACCACATGACCCAGCAACTTTTTTTTCTGGATATGTACCCAGAAGAATTGAGAGTAGGGACTTGAACAGACATTTGTACACCCATCTTCACAGTAACTAAAAGTTAGAAACAACCCAAGTGTCCATTAACAGATGAATGGATAAACAAATTTGGCATATACATACAATGGAATGTTATTCAGCCTTAAAAAAGAAGGAAATTCCAACACAGGCTACAACATAGGTAACCTTGAGGACATTATGTTAAGTGAAATAAGCCAGACACAAAAGGAAAAATGTGTGGTTCCACTGACACAAGACTCCTGGAGTTACCAAATTCATAGAGACAGGAAGTGGAGTGAGCATTGCCTGGGGCCAGGAGAGGAGGGTGGGGAGTTGTGTTTAATAGGTTCAGAGTTTCAGTTTGAGAAGATATAAAAGTTCTGGAGATGGATGCTGGTGATGGTTGCTCAACAATGTGAATGCACTTAACTGCCACGGAGAAGTGGTTAAGATGATAAATTTTATTTTATGTATATTTTACCCCCATTTTAAGAAGGTGCTTGTGGGTTTTTAAAATTTCAATCAAAAATACCAAACAGAGAAGCTTTGATAAAATGCATAGCCTTGTAGTCAAGTCTTTGTTTTTATAAGCTCTTCTATTCCTGAAGTTCACATTGATCTAAATGGTCAGACCAGGTAGAGACAGCACCGAGGCCAGGCTGTCCCCAGCATGCCACCCTCTGCCTTGGAATCCTAGCAGGATCTCTTTGTTTTTTCCTTTGTCACCATCTTCCCCCCTACTCTCACCCCCTTAGTGGTTCATTCATCCAGCTTCCCATGAGTGATTTGACAGCCAGCTGCCCCATGAACACCTGCTGCCGTAGTTTCTCCAACACTATCAGAGTTCCAGGGCAGCACAAAGGGATTCACCTGCCATTCACCCTGTGAAGAGACCCACAGAGCTCCAAAAAGGTGTGGACCATAAATCCAGACTACTTAGATACACTTCTCGGTATTGTTGGTATCCCTGGACAATTAAATTTCTCTTAAATGTTCCAATTTTCAGTCACTGCCTCTATTCTTCCCTCTCTTCGTTGAAAACAAAACACAAGTCTCTCTCAAGCAGCTTGCCAGCCTTGCAAACAAGCCAACATTCGAATCCGTGTAAAAGAGAAGGCATGGGCTGGACAAAGCCAAGACCAGCCCCAGGAATTCCCAGGGCTCTCAAAGCCTCCGGGACACAGACATCCAGGATCTCCAGGGGCTCAGACAGAAGATGTGGGGTACGGAGGCAGCCACATGAAACTCAGTTGCCAATGTGATCAGTCAGCCACACAATTCTACACAGGTCATAGATGGTCACATGCATGGGAAAAAGACCACTTTACAAGGTGGAAAGTGGTAGACCTTAGAGATGGTTTATAAGTCTATCAACATGGAAATAATAAAGCATGTAAAGCACCTAATGCAATCCTTGGCATATACACAGTGTATGCCCAGTAACAGGAGCAACCACCATTATCTATTATCACACAATGGCTTAAGACACACTTAGATCCAATCAAGACTGCTGTGTGATGGACTTAGCATTTAACTCAGAAATAACACACCCTAAGAATTTTATTCCCCTATAAAGACCCAGGGTCTTTCTTCATCAAGTACCGAAAAAGGGAAGCAGAGAAATCAGAATGTGTGTCTCTGATGGGCTCACAGGAGCTTCACATCTGCTTGGCAAGTAGAATGAAACTCTTGTTCAAATTCCATGATCGTTAGCAGCCTTCCAACTGTGACTTGATTTCTCCCATAGACAAGAGGGAAGGCAGAGGTGGGGTGGATCCTAGAATCCCTATGTAAAATGTGAGTGGGGTCAGGGTTTGAGTTCCAACCCTGCCTGGTCAAGCTGCCTAACTTTAGTGCTTTTTCACCCCTCAGGGTCTCAGTTTCCTGGACTAAGTTACCTCAACTATCTCTTTGACCCTAACATCCTGTATCTTGGAGCATTCCTGTCCACTGACAATCACATTTTTCACAACAGCTAGATGAACTAGTATTCTTTATCAATTCACCTCACCTGCATTTAAGATGAGCCATTTCATCTGATCCTAGTTACTACAGCAAGGAATGATAAAAATCCAGTTTGTGGACTTACCAGCCTGAGAGCTAACCTCCACCTCATGGACAGGCACCCAAGAGTTAGTCATTCTGTCTTCAAATCCCTTAACCGCAATTAAGTTCTGGCTTCTTTTCCATCTGAAAAATAAAGATGAAGTCCAACTTCAGTTTTCAAAGAATGATTGAACTTTAAATAAAAAATAAAGAGAACTTCATGAATTATATATTTGAATAATCAAAAGTAGGCTATTCACTTATTTTCTAAGTGTTGCTGGGCAGCAAATTCACACTAACAGTCAGATAGGAAGAGAAAATGTGGTCTCTTTAGTTTGATTCTATACCTGATCTCGTTTGTCCCCTGAGTTACCACCTGTCAGGAAACAGAGGAAAGATAATGTATAGACTGACTTTTGACCTTAATTAGATACAATAATTTAAACAGTTCCTTCAGCATTCATTCTTACAGAAGTTACATCTCATGCCCTTTATTTGCATTCCTACCCCTTTGTAGATAGAATCTGGTTTTATGGGGTAGGAGGCCTCCTGGAATCTCATAGTGGTGGAGTGAAGGGGCTTAGGGACCCAGGACTGTCCTTAGTCCCATGCTTGTCCTGGTCAATCTGGTGCTAAGTAGAATTGGCCTGATCTTGTCTGTTGGATCTGCCAGTCTGCTGGTGACATCTGTGACTTATGAACCTGTGGCCCACTCTTTCCCAGTGGGAACTCCCACTGACTCAGCCTTCACTCAACGCTCATTGCTCAACAGACCCCTGAGTCTAAGTTCCCTGGCCAGGCTCTGTGGTGAGGCCCCTCTCCTTATCACACTGGGCCTCACGGCTGACTCACTGGCTTTTGGTCCAGCATTTATGCCATGTGAGAAACTAGGTAGGGTTGAGAGTTGTAACTAGACTCACTCTCTGTCCAGCCGTGTCATGCCACCATGCCAGATCACACCATTTTAGCACAAGTCCCTGCATAGCATCATCCTCCAATGTTCTGAATAGCAGAGAGAAAGCACGCCTCTACCTCTGCCCACTCCCACATTCTCACTGATGTATCTGTCATCAGTGGTGTGCTGGCAATTTAACAATAGACTCTCCAGGGATTTGAAGTGTTTGCCAATTATCATGATGCAAATATTCCCACCATGTCCAATTACAAGACGCCAACTATTTAACAATCAGTTTGCAAAATTCCTGAAACAATCAGCCCTCAAGATTTGATGCAAGCCAGCTCCATGCACCACTGACATTCTCAGTCCTCTCCAGCATGAAGATAGAAAGTTACAATAAACTACCCTTCCTGCCTCTCTCTCACTATTTTTTCTCTCATCCAATTTCATCTCACCAAGTGATGGAAAGGGATGAATTTTCCCTCTTTACCCAGAGAAACAAGCTACACAACCAAGACATCCCCTCATTTTTATACTATAGGATGGCCTCTGAGCTCCAAGACCCTCAGGCTTGATTCCTGAGAGGCTAAATAGGAGCTAAAACTATTAGAAAATGTTTTCCTTTACCAAAGCCTGTAATGAGGCTGTAAAAATCAATTTTGAATGTCAGAAGCTGAACATTCTGCTGTGCATATTGGATCATTTCTATTGATCTATCTTCAAGTTCATTGACTCCTTACTCTCTCACCTCCATGGAGCCCATTCAGTTTTTTAATTTTTGGTTATTGTACTTTTCACTTGTAAAATTTCTACTTTGTTCTTTGTACCATTTAGTGTCTTCTATTTGCTGAGACTTTCTAGCTTTACATTCATTTCAAGAGGGTTTGCCCTTACTTCTTGGAACATTCTTAAAATTGCTGCCTGAATGTTTGTCAGATATTCCCAAAATCTGTGACATCATGACTTTGGCATTCATTGGTTCTTTGTCCATGCAAGATTTTCCTGGTTCTTTGTATGCTAAGTAATTTGGGATTATTTCTTGGATATCTTGGATATTATGTTACCTATGGGGAATGCTAATATTTTTGCTTAATCAGGCAACTTGCTTTGTTTAGTGGATTCTGTTGAGTTCAGGCTTCAAATTCTGGCCAGCCTTCTATCCATGTGACTTAAATGTCAGTACCATTTTCAAAGCTCTGTGATGTTATTTAGATGTTTGCTACCCAGTGGGGGGTATAGGTACTGGGTTGTCATCTATCCATTGGGTCAGTTCTCAAAGAAGATGACATTCTACTTAGGGTCAGTTCCATCCATGTGCAGTTCAGGGGTAAGACCAGGAGATCATAACAACTTTGTGAGATTGCTTTCCTGAGCTCATTCCTTTCCATGGTTTCCCCAGTATTTTATGGTTCTCTAGGTCTCCTCTTTCCAGTCTCCAGCCAGAAAACTGAGGCTTTATTTATTTACTCTGCCATACAATTTCTGCAACAGAGTCCATGCCTGGGACCAAGCAATGGAAGACAGTTTTAAAAAACAACAAGAGGGTATGATCCCTATCCTCTTGGGATCATAGCTCATCCAAATGGAAAGGAAACTCCATCCCTCAGAGTTTGGGGCTCTACCATTTCCGCTGCCACCTCATATTACTTAGAGGCGAGGATGTAAGCAAAGGGAGAAAAGGAAAAATATACATGGAAATTTCCCCACTGTCTCTTAGCATTAGGAGATCCCTTTCCCACTCCTCAAGCCTGAACCAGAGAGCTTCTCCTGGCTCTTTCTCTGTGGTTATGCCACATTCCACCTTTCAGGCTGGGCTGAGTCCAGGAAGTACTGAAGGGAAAAATGGTAAACTCACCACTAGTTCAGTGGCACTCCGAATGCCAGTCTTCCCCAATCTACTTGCTACTGTTTACCCTTCAAAATCCTCAAATGGTTGTTCCATGCATTCTGTTCAGGTTTTAGAGCTGATTTCAGTGGAGAGACAAGATGGAGTGTGTTTAATTCATCTTGTCTGGACTGGAATCCCCACCATGTAATTGAAGAGATCTTTCTAAAGCACAAATCTGGCCATGTGACTCCTCTGCTTAAAGTTCCTCTGCCTCAAGTCCTCAAACCTCTCCATCTGTGACACCATCCCCTTTGGGATCTGGCCTCCTCTCCTCTGTCCAACTTCCATCCATGCCCACCGTCCCCTCTGCTCTGAAGCAGCACCGAGCCACTTCCAGCTCCTGCAGCCGCTGGCGGCTCCCTAGCTTCCCAGCCTCCGCTCCTGCTGCTCTCTCACCCAAAACGAACTTCTCCCTTCTGTCCTGGTTGCTGTCCCATAGGTCTTAGCTGAGATGTCACTTTTTCTAGGAAACCATTCCTCATCCACAATGGATATGATCTTTATCTACAATGAGCTCCCATTGCATGTTATTCCAGCATTTCATCGCTCTGCTACAACTACCTGTTGATCTGTTTTCCCCAGTACACTGTGAGCACCTTGAAGACAAGGCACTGTGTTTTCACCAGTTTCTAACAGACAGTCTGGCACACAGTAGTTCTAATCAATATCTGTGGAATTGAATTGTGTTGCTATCAACAGGGTCCCTGAGAGGTGGATTTCCTTCATCTAAACTTGGTCAAGGCCCCTGAAGACTCCCAGCTATTTGGTTCTCTTTCAACAATACGCTCCACCCCGGATCTTAGACTCTACCCCAGATTCTGGTTTACACCCTTCCAAGTTTCCATTGTCTGAACTCCCAGATATTTCAGCCTATCTTTGGGCTCACACAATCCAGTACTGCTCCCCAAGATGACCACCTCTTGACCTCAGTCAATATCTATAGGATTGAATAGTATCAGTAGCCACAGGTCCCTAGAAAGTAGATTCCCTTCCCCAAACCTCTGCATCCTTTGTCTGAGCTGCTAATAATTATCAGATACCAATCAAGCAGACCATAATTTCCTGGTTTACTTTACCACTGCGCCTCATCTGTCTGCTTAGACCTGCACTGTGCAAAAGCAATGTGACATGCAAGCTGTGTATGTCATTTAGAATTGCCTAGTAACCACATTTAAAAAAAGGAAACAGAAAGAGGTGAAATTGATTTTAATATTATATTTTAATGCGCTATATCCAAAATGTCATTTCAACAAGTAATCAGTATTTTAAAAATTGTTGGAGAAATATTTTACATTCTTGTTTTAATATTAAGACAACAAAATCTAACCTGTAGTTTACATTTACAGCACATCTCAATTTGGACGAGTTTCACTTTGAGTTCTTCATGGCTGCATGTGGCCAGTGAACACCATATTAGATGACACATGACAAGAGACTGGATATTAATATTGATAGTAATAGCTAATGCTTACTGTGTCTTTACAACATGCCCAGCACTCTACCAAACCTCTAAGACTTTTCGTGCATTATCAAACTTAATCTCACAGCAATCCCATAAACCAGGGACTGTTTCTAATCCCATGGTGCAAATGAAGAAAATCTGAGATTAAGCCCAATGTGACACAAGCAATTCAGTGGTATAGCTCGGGCTAGAACCAGACTGGTGTATGCAGGCCCATCTCCTAACCTATGAAACGCTTAATAAATATGGCATTTGCTAATCCTCAGATGCTACACATTGAAAATACATGTGAGGGTGAAAAAATGGATAACATAGCCAAAAAGTTCTGTTGAGTCAATTCATGTTTCAAAAGTCATCAGAGAGAACAGTCATATCCTTCCAGAAAATACCCCCCTGTCCCACGGCCAAAGAATGGTCCTGGGTTCAATGAATGGCAAGCCCAACAAAGAGTAATATTTATTATGTTTTCAAGCTTTGAAAGCTTCAAAAAAAATTAGTTTGTAGAAAGTTACTTTTCAACTGATTTGACAGACAATTAAGATCAAACTGTTTCCCTTCTTGGTCTCTTTATTCAACGAGCTGTGTTAGCCTCTGGGGCCAGTGGGTCGAGGGCTAACTGCTTTCTCAATGGCCGTCTTCAGAGACTTCTCCATGATAAGCCGCAGCGGTTCTCTTGTCCTTGCGAAGATGGACACCGTCCCAGCAAAAGGCAGGTGAGAGCTGCTACTGCCTTCAACATGTGCAATGAATGTCACCTCCCAGGAATGGTCCTAAGTAAGTAAATTGTTCCTTGTGCTGTAATTTATGCTTTGGGAAATATTTACTCCTTTAACCTTCAGATTTTACATATAAAATGTAATTTTATTCCCATTAGGATTAAGTCCTGTTTCAAGCAGTGATTTACACAAATTAGAAGTTTATTTCTCTCTTCTATGAACCTAGGCACCCATGATCCGGGGGCTTGGGTTTGTTTCATCTTATGGCTTCATCATCCTCCACAACTGTCTTCTGTCTCATGTTACAAAATAGCTGCAGTCATCTCATCATACTCCAGCCAGCAAGAGAGGGGAAAGGGCAGGGAGGAAATAATCCCTCCTTTTAAGGACCCTTTCTGAAAGTTGTATGTACAGCTTACACACACACCATATTGACCAGTTCAGCAGAGGCCATACAAGCTTCGAGAGAAGATGACAAACGGGATCCTTGCTCTGGGTGTCTGCAGCAGCAGTGGTAACGTACCTCTCAGATCTCTGACGTAGTGGGCATAATTATCCTTGGGTCCCAGCTGCTGTGCTCTGAAATCCATTTGGAGTGAGGCTGTGTTCCCCACAGGCTGCTCCCAGCAGAGGACTGAGTGCATCAGGAATACTAAGGCGCTAAAGCAAGCTTATTCTAGCTGTTGTGAGACTTTTCTCATGGGTAACATTGGCTTGTAAACTGTTATTATCTGTTTCTGCTCAGCAAATTACTCCAAAATGTAGTAGCTTAAAACAGGACACATTCATTATCTCACAGTTTCTGTGGATCGGGAATTTAGCAGCAGTCTAGCTGGGTTCTTTGCTTTAAGATGTCTCACAAGGCTGAAATCAAAGTGTCAGCCAGGGCTGTGGTCTCATCTGAGGCCTGACCAGGGAAGGATCTGCTTCCAAGCTCACCTAGAGGTTGGTGTCAGGATTCAGCATTTCAAGGGCTGTTAGACTGAGGGCCTCAGCTCTTTCCTGACTATTGGCTGGAGGTCACCCTCAGTTCCTCATTACACGGGACTTTCCAACACAATAGCTTGTGTCAGCAAAAGCAGTGAGAAAGAGTCCAGTAAGATGGAAGTCACAGTCTTTTGTAAGTGAGTAAGTGACATCCTATTATTTTGCCATATTCTTTTCACTAGGAGCTAGTCACAAGGTCCAGTCCACCCTCAAAGGGAAGGGGTTATTCAAGATGTGGGTACCAAAGGCATGGGTCATTGGGGGTCATCCCTGAAATCTGCCTGCCACAAGGATCCCCAACAGCTTTCCTTAGAACTACACTGTAGTGTAAGATGCTTCCAGCAGCCAGCCTGCCCGCCTGCCTCCTTCCCCTCCTTCTTTCCCTCCCTCCTTCTCTCCTGCACTTGGGGTCAGACCCACACTGTGGTCTGGTGGCCCTTCCAGCCTTCTTCTCCCTCCCTCCCCATCTTCCCTAACTGACATTCCCCCCAATAAATTCCCTGCATGTTTAATCCATCCTTACCTTTGCTTCTCAGAACACTCAGACTAACACAGTAGCCATGGGCCAACTAAGATTCTTCAGTTTCTGCTGTTGAGAAAGAAAATATTCTGAGAAGTCTCTACCAGTATCCTCAACATACTACTGAAATTACCACCTCTGGATCTCAGCACATTCAATATTAAAGCTGAAATAAAAGCTACACACACACAATAAAATTTAAATAACTGGAAAAATATAGATCTACTGCCAATAATGTATATTGTGTGTGCTACAGTAATTCTTTACCTAACTTAGAATTTAAATTTCTAGAGAGTAAGACTCTAAGAATAAAACTGATATAAAATAATAATAAGGCCTGATACCAAATCCAATCATTTTTATTACAAAATTTAAAGATGTACCTTAGACCCAATAATTTTTTAGTGTTGGCAATTTTCACTTAATTGCACTACGATTTTCACTTAAGTTCTTAATTTTGTACTGATTTTCCAAACTGATTGGTAAATTAACCTGAATTTGCTAATAAGTCAGCTTTAGGGAGCGGGCTGGAGGTCTTAGAAGCTCAGATCAAGGCTGAACACTTACTTTGGACAAAGCTAACAGTCAGAAAGCATAATAAATAATTCTGACGAAGAATTTTACCTGTTGCCTCAAATGAGCTCCCCTCACTATGTTTTTATTCATAATTTCTGTTCCTGCCTTATCATCATTGGTATCATGAACTATACCAATAAAGATTCTATCTAAAAAATAATTCTCTTTTTGCACCACACAGAAATTGAAGAAAATTTAAAGATGTACCTTAGACCCAATAATTTTTTAGTGTTGGCAATTTTCACTTAATTGCACTACGATTTTCACTTAAGTTCTTAATTTTGTACTGATTTTCCAAACTGATTGGTAAATTAACCTGAATTTGCTAATAAGTCAGCTTTAGGGAGCGGGCTGGAGGTCTTAGAAGCTCAGATCAAGGCTGAACACTTACTTTGGACAAAGCTAACAGTCAGAAAGCATAATAAATAATTCTGACGAAGAATTTTACCTGTTGCCTCAAATGAGCTCCCCTCACTATGTTTTTATTCATAATTTCTGTTCCTGCCTTATCATCATTGGTATCATGAACTATACCAATAAAGATTCTATCTAAAAAATAATTCTCTTTTTGCACCACACAGAAATTGAAGAAAGGGAGAGAATGGGTAATCCTGGTAGCGTTGTTAAGTCCATGTTGTGTAGTTCTCAAATTCGGCCAGGAGGTGGCAGTAGCGACCAGGGAGAAAATCCTGAAGCTAGCCTCTATCAGCGTTTCATTGTCCTGCGGATGCTTCCTGTATCTAATCTGATGCTTATGAAAGCGATTTCCTTCGTGCAAAAACACCAGGCCCGAAAAGAAACTAACCTCATCCTGCAGATAAAGAGTGTTTGTCCCTTACACGTTGTCGAACGTTCTCAGCTATAGCCAGACCTTCAGTATTTTCCCAGCAGCAAAAGGCAGCTGTGCATTTTCGGAAGCAGAGAAAGCACGCTCCCCCCACTGCAGCTTGCAGCTTATCAGATCGGCCCTCAGGGTGGCGGGAAGTGGGTGACGGGAGCCTGATCCCAGCTCCGGAAGGCTGAGCTGAGCGTGCTGAAGGATTCTGCAGGAAATAACAAACAGCGAGTAACTGTTCTGTTTAGGCAAGAGTGCTTGTTTCCAAGTCCCGAGACACTCAAAGCAAGGGCTTTTCCACCAGCAATGCCCACGAATCTTTCTCATGCAAACACAAGTCTAATCATCTTTCCTGGGCGATGTTTGATTCAAATGGCTTTAGTGCCACCTTTGAAGCTACAGAACTAGTGTGCCTGCTCAGACAGTGAAGAGTTCTTGAGGATTCTGGAAGCCCCTTAAATTGGAGACCTGACCCTACTAGCAATGGGGGCCATTCAAAGGTGTTTCACAAGGGCGTAAGACGACTGGCTAACAGAAGTTAGAAGCATCAAGGAAGACAGTAGGAAGGTCTCAAGTTAAATAGGCTTCTACCACTGAATCTCAGCATCAGCTATTTTTATTTTATTTCTGATTACGTTTTTTGAAGAATGCTGAGAAGTCTGGCACTGTGCTCTTGGGCTCCCTTCTAACCCTCAAGAAGACACATGACGGCAGAATAGCTCATCAGCCCTGGCATCAGAGCGACCTGACTTCAGGACTTGGAAAAGTAGTGTGAGCTCTCAAACCTCAGACCAAAGAGATTGTTGTGAGATTACTTGAGATCATGTGTGTAAGTCCTCTGGACAGTGCTTGAGCTCTAGTGAGCCCTCACTGAACTGTACTTATCATAGAGACTTGACCTGGGAAATGTCATGAAATAGAACAAACTTGCCACAGGTGCTAAGTGGGCCATGAGGGTCATCATACCCACCGATTTGTAAGGACCGTACACACACGCACACACAGACACACACACACACAGGCACAGCGAGACCCTCCTCTGTCTTACACGGCCCACCAGGTCTGCTTAGAGTCACTTCTTTGCTTCACCCAAGATGCCCTGAAGGTTTTCCTTTGTCCATCTGCCTGAAAATGCTTCCAGAGGGTCCAACCCAGGGGCTCAGCCCTCTCAGATTCTGCACCCCAGCACAGCCCTGATCTGGCCCACCATCCAGGGCTTACCTGAGCAGGCCTCCACTTTCACTGTGGCCAGAGAAAAATCACCTGCTGATTTTGGTAAGGGTAACTAAGTGTTTCTTATTTACCATCAGAAACCTTGAGATCACTGCCAAAGTTCTAGCACATATTTGAACTACAGGGAAGGGAAGGTGTCCTCTTGAGGTTAGAAAGAAGGGGACTTGCAGAAGCCACACAATAAAAAGCCATTGTTGATAGATATCAATTTCACACCTGTTGGCCCCTGAGAATGAGCTCCCAGCAGCCCCAGGGGTGTTGTGCCAGAAACCAGGCTGCCGCTAGGATCGGTGGGGGCCTGAGGGCCTGCAGTGTGCTGGCCGCGCCCCACCGATGGTCCCTAGAGCCTGCGCGCTGTTTGCCAAAGCTGCGCGGCAGTTCGCATTTGCTCAGTTCTACTCCAAAGGCTGCACGTGCCAAACAAGGCAAGCACGGAATGGGCCAGCCTTCTTTCTGGAAGCTTCCAAAGCTCTGAAATGGGGTTCTTCCAGGAGGAGGAAGTTAGCTGTCTGTTCCACACTCTTCTAATATAACTGGATTGTTTTAACAAAACCTTTGCAGGTCTCGGTTTACAGCCTACTGCAACATATGTTGGTTTGAACGTTGCTTTGGAACGTTTTCCCATCAAACAGTGAGGTTTGGGGCGGTGTGTTCGCAGGACTCCCTAAAGGCCAGTCAAACCCACTCTAGGCCCTGTGCAGAGATGGGAGAGCCGGGAGAGTGCGGGAAGTTTGGGGCGGCTGGACGAAGGGCAGCATGGAGACAAAATTGCTGCTAGGGTCGGGGAACCAAGGGCAGCACCGTGGAGGGCACACACAAGCCCGAAGCAGTGAGGAAGGGTTTTGGAAGCTGCTTTAGGAGTTAGGACTTTCCCCCTGGGGGCACTGGGCACCAACAAAGGTTTTAGGCAGGGGAACGACATAACCAGAATGCCTGAAACCCTTCTGCCTCAGAGTATTGGAATAGTGGGGGCGAACTCGGTCCCCCCCTGGATCCCCAGACCGCAGGGAGGTCAGGACGGTGTGGGAGGAAGGACCCAGGCTCCCCACTGTGGGGGGCACGGAGGGGGACTCTGAGGGTCTTGGCTTCAGTGTTGGGGGCTGGCGAAGGGAGAGGGATTGTTTGTCCAAAAGACCAACCGAGCACCAAATCCCAGATCAGGGAGCTCGTTTTAAGCGGGGACCATGTTTAATGCAGGTGGACATAAACTGGGGGATGTCTGGATTCTGCTTTCTTGGAAATGCAGTGCCCTCCAAGCCTAGAAACTGCTATCAGCCTAGACAAAATGCCTAACTGGCAATGCCAGTACTGAAGGAATGGTGCAAACTGGAAAAAATGAATCCATTTTATGTAAGGCATTTGTTCTCTCTAAGAGTGTGACCAAAACCGAAGTCCATTGCCTTCAAGCCAGACTGTATTGATTTCTCTTTATGCCCAGATACGCACTACATGAAACCTGAGGCCAATGGGAAGTAATTTAAGGTCGAAATATTTTTATGATATAATAGTGTGTTTCTAAAAGCAAAGATAGTATATATAAATACACCTGCTGCACCAATGATAAGGTTGAATTTTCCACTTAAATATATTAATAAATCCACAAGGCACAACCAGTGAATCTCATGGACACTCTTAACCCCTAATCATGAGTCAGTCAATGCAGAAGCAAATAAGTGAGGCTTTTGAACTGAAATGTTTTTATAAAATCCACACCAACTTTGCACAAATACCTTTTTGTTCTCCAGATAGCTCATTTTGTAATGGAAGCATTTTCATTCTACTTGTCTTTCATTTACTTTTTTTTTTCTTTAGACAAATGCCAGGATAAACAAAAACTTAACCAAAAATATACCCAGAAATATAACCTTACAATATTGGAACTTCCCCTCCCAAAAGTAAAAGAGTTTCTTAGCTAAATTGCAAAAATGTTGTCAGGCTTCCATGAGATTTTGAAAATAGTTTCATGGCAAGATGGTTCACATGATTTTCTGTGAATACATTAGAAACAAACTGATGACTGTTGAAACATAAAACATAAGTTTGCTACTGTATTTAATAGAATCTAAGCCTCCATCAGTGTGGAATACATTGTTATTTAACAAAGCAGGAAGAAAATAAAAATGCTGAGATCTAACTACATGTGTCACAATGCTTTTTTAGCACTTAGAGTTTTTATTCTAAACATATTAAAAGGGCTCTTTTAGACTTATTTGGACATAGAAATTTTTAAGCCATGTAACACTTTTCTACACACACACAAAGGGAAATATAGTCTAAATAAATTGGTTAAAGTACACCTAAAACTTTTCCACATTCAGAATCTACCTCTTTGGAATCAACCTTTGATACAGGACCTTTGAAATCCCTATTTTCCCATAATGCGTTGGCAATCGGTCATGAAGAACTTTCAGGAGAATTCTAGCAAAGCCCTGTGTCTTTCTAAAGTGCTCCACAATTATCTTCAGGGGTTTCTTCTAAGCCTCTGACACCTGTTCCCCATGCTTTGACACTCACCCAGTGGCAGCAACAATCATGACATGACACATGGCTTGCCTAGATGGCATGAGTGTTAGGCATGGACATTTCAGGGTGGTTACAGAATGAGAAAGCATTCCTCTTAAAATCAATGAAATTGCCTAATGGATTGAGTGTGCCCCCAAATTCATATGTTGAAATCCTACCCCTGAATGTGATGGTGTTAGGAGGTGGGGCCTTTGGGAGGTGATTAGGTCCTGAGGGGGGAGCTCTTAAAAGAGACCCCAGAGAGCTCCCTCACTCTTAAAAATGTGAGGATGCAGCCAGATGTCTGCCACCCAGAAGACACTTGCCCTCAACCCTGCTGGCACCCCATGTCAGATGCCCAGCCTCCTGACCTGTGAGAAATAAATTTCTGGTGTTTTAAGCCATCCCATCTCCAGGACGTTGTCCCAGCAGCCTGAACGAACTAAGACATGTGATTGCTCAAATTTAACATGTACCCTTGCTGTCTCCCATCTCCATTCCCCCTCCCAGATACAGTGTGTGTGTGTGTGTGTGTGTGTGTGTGTGTGTGTGTGTGAAGATAACTTTTGAGAAAGGAGGAAAATCTAACATCCATAATAAAAAATAAGAAAACCAGTTTTAAAAGAACATGACAAGCCTGTGATGTGGGAAGACCAAGGCAGTTGACCCTCCAGAAAGTCTCCAGCTCATCAGCGGTGTGAATTGCCACTGGGAAGCTACCCCGAGGGCATTAGGATGACTCAGCAAGGCAGAAACAGCTGAGATTTTGGGGTCAAGAACAGCCGCCTTGAATGCTGCTTTTCTCATTTAACTTGTCTGGTGTCACTCACATTACTGACCCTCTCTAGGCTCTACGTAAAATGGATCATTACAGTACATGCTTGCAGAGCTGTCAGAAGGAGTAAATGAACTATGCAAACACCATTAATAAATATGTTTTGGTTTGCTCTTTATCCCTTATGCCCCAAAAATCCCTCCAAGGCTGAAAATAAACCAGAATTACAATAGAAAAACAAAATTGAAGCATGTTTTTGTTTTTATTTCACTAAGATTCCTGAGTGGAGAGATTTTCTCCTGAAAATAAAATTTGCTCACCAACACATACACACTGGGGACTTTTTTTTCTTGCATTATACAACAAGCAGTGATCTTTGAAAGAATAATATGCTAGCATGACTCAGGTCTGGAGGGATCTGTGTTCTGCTCTGTCCTTTGGTGTCTGTGGAGGGAGTCAGAGAGACCCCTCGGGCGGTAGCAAGCCCAGGTGTGAGGAGGTGGTTAGCCATGACACAGCCTGGACCCAAGCCTGGCTTGCTCAGAATGCTTTCTCTCTCCTCCCTGTCCTCAGGCACACACCAGCTGCAACTCCTCCTGCTGCACCCAGATAAATGCCCAGGACAGGGAGTGCAAATGCAAACCTCTGCCTTCCAGGAAATTCAGCAAACCTTCTTCCCTGGGGTTTGTTCCAGGAAAAGGTGTGGCTCCACAGCAGTGGGCAGGGATCCCAAAACGTAAGCCCAAACTCAGCAATGACTTTCTTGTATGGCTTGGGGAGATCAATCAATCACATTGCCTTGGTTTCCAATCTCTATAATGAGAAATAGTTTTACCCCTTCTATATATAAATATATTCTGAAGACTAAAAATTGGGGAAATGTGGCTGTTTTGTTTCCTTTCTGATGGAACACAGAGAAAATGCTAAATGCTGCTATGGCATAATTGTAAGTGAACTTTTAGCGCAGCCACTTAGTAACCACATTCCTAGTCTAGGAGTCTAGTTTCTACCACTAACTACTCAAGACCATTATATACTAGTGGATAATCATCTCTCTCCTGGTTTTGGTCTACAGCTTATTTCACCTCTGCTTCTGGTAACAGTCCTTCTCCCCATTGGAATCTGCCCCTTTCCCACCTTAACCACAGTACCGCATCCCAGTCCATCCCACTCCCATGTGGTGGCTCCAGGCAAAGACCAAGGACTCAGGCCTGGACAGTTACAAGACCTAATCGGCTTTAGTCTCACTTTCCCTGAGAACAGAGCATTACATGCAGTCACTTACTTGGGAAGAGGGCCAGGAGTGAGGGAAGGAGCTATCAGTCAGTTGGCCACCATAGTGAATGCCTGGAGAAAGATCTTGCTAGAGCTTTCAGAGCAACCTAGAGAATGTATCTCAGAATCACATGCCTAAAGGATGAGAGACAAGAGCACTTACCTGTTGGCCCCTGCCCCCAGCTAAATTGGCCCTTAGTTCCAGGGTGAGCATATTTGAGTGTTGGGGGACATCCTCAAATGGCCCTCACCAGGTTTCAGCAGAACTGTGGTGGGAAGCCAGAGATGTCCCAAGGTGAGATGAGGCCCCTGTGCAGCCCAGAGAATCCTGCCTGATGGAGTGTAGACTTAGCACTTAAGCTGCCCTACAGAGCGAGGGACACCAGGAAAGGGAAGACTCACCCCCCTGGAGAGGGCATTTTGCAGTGGACATCAACTAAGGGGTCCTTCTTAAACTTGTGCTTGGAGATCATCACCTCTGATGATCACAGTAAATTTTATATAAACATACTTAGACAACCAGGAAATCCCAGACAAAATCTTTTAGTAGATTACATTTATTTATATCATACAAAATGAAGAAGTTGCTCCCTATTTACCAGTCACTTCAACATTTTGTATTATGATCAGCAGAATACCACTTTTTTGAGATGATTTATGAAAAAAGTGTGCCACGGTCAGATAAATTTGACAAGTGTTGTACACTACCGCATTGCCTTGATTCTGATACTCACTTTCTTCAGTTCTTCAATGTGTCTAAAAATCAGAATTCATCCTGTAATTATTGCAGTATTTCCTTACTTCCTGTTATGGGCTGAATTCCAGTGAATGAAATTCATGTGTTGACGCCCTAACTGTCAGTAATTCAGAATGTGACTGTATTTACAAATAGGGTGTTTGAAGAGGTGATTAAGTTCAAAGAAGCTGAGAGCATAGGCTCTAAGACAATCTGACTTGTGTCCCTTTAAGAATAAGATACACCATGGTTACCCAAACCTTTCCCTCCTGTAGCTTCCACTGAGTAGGATGGATGACAAGGATGTAGTAATAGTGTTAATGTTAACATTAATTGACTGCCTTCCACGTGCTGGGCACAGTGCTAAGTCCCGTTTCTTCCAGTGTACTGTCTTCTAATGACCTCAGCACAGGTGGAACTCTCCAACGACTGAAGAAGAGCTCTGATGGCTCAGAGGATGAGAGGACCTGTGAGGCTTTGGGGACCGTGGCGACAGCACCCTTATCAGTCAGTGTCTACACGTGCCCGATGCCATATGCTCGTGGGTTAAGGTAAGCCTGGCCAAGAATGCACTGTCCATTTCTCCTTTCCATACTTTCAGGTCCCTGAGGCAGGGGCCAAGGAGGATATGAGGTGTGAGATGGGGGCTACCCAGATGGGCAACTGTCCCCAGTCAGAAGGAAAGCAGGGAAAATGGCAGACCTTTGCATCAGCCGCTGCTTTTTCATCATGACATGTGATGCAAATTTCTGGAGAATTTTCTAATTGAAAGTTAGGCAGGTGCACACCCTGTCTCTTCCCTACTTACTTAATTTCATGGTAGCACTCTTCAGGGAGTGAGTTTTTGGATAGGGAGATACATCCATTGTGCTTTCTGATCTGCTCATTAGGTCCAAGAAACACCTTGGCATAAAAACTATACAAAGGTCCTTAAATTTCTTTCATATTCAGAAAATAATCAGGCTAAGATGATATCTTTGTTAGATCACTGCCTCCAGGTTGTCTCTCTGAGCCTGCACTAAGTAGTCTCCTCTCGGACTAAACTACTACGTATTTTTTTGTCTTGTTGCAGGCATTTTCTACATACATGTGTGGATCTATGTGGACATGTGGATCTATGTGGATCTATGTGGATTCATATGTGGACATGAATATTGTATTATTTTGCTTGAGCTGCCTTAACAGATACAACAAACTGGGTGGCTAACACAACAGACATTCACATCCTCACAGCTCTGGAGCTGGAAGCCCAAAACAAGGTGCCCTCCGAGGCCTCTCTCCGGGGCTTGCTGATGCCACCTCCTCACCGTGTCCTCACAGGCCTTCCTTCTGGACACGTGTCCCTGGTGTCTCTGTGTGTCCAAATTTTCCTTTCTTATAAGGACCTAGTAAGACTGGATTAGGGTCGGCCCTAATGGCCTCATTTTAATTTAATCACCTCTTTCAGACCGTATCTCGAAACACCATCACCTTCTGAGGTGCTGGGGTTTAGGAGTTAAAATTACGACTTTGGTGGGGAGGACACAATTCAGCTACAACAGATATAGACAGACAGACAGACAGTAGATAGATGGATCCTATAAATGAAATACATATTCATATTACAAATGAAAATGCCAAGATGGCTTTTAGAGATCTAAATTCTGTAATCAATCATGATCCTCCAGGGTCTCATCTCCTCATATAATCTTAATTTTCACCTCTAAGCAGATGACACTTGTAGCCACATCTTTAGTTCAAATCTCTCTCCTGAAGGTCTGACTCACACTTGCAGTGTCCGACCGGACATTTCCTCCCAGGCCTTTGGCAGGTTTCAGCGCACCTAAAACAAAATGCGCCCTCCTTTCACATGAAATCTCTTCCTGCTGACCCTCCAGCCTCCCCAAGTCCTGCTGTCACCCACACCTCACCCCTCCTGCTCCAGAGGTGCCTTCTCTGTCTCCTCCCTCTCCTGTGACTCCTGATGCAGGGAGCGACTGCGCATAGACCTCTGAGGTCCTCCCGCCCATCTGTTCCGTTGCATTCCTGCTGCCCCCACCATGGTTCAGGCTTTTCTTCCTCTGGGTGAGGAATTCCAACAGCCACCTGTGCACCGGCCACACCCGGGCTCCCCCAACTCTAGTCCAGCCCTCACATGGCACGTCCCGGCACGCAAAGCTTCGGTTGCTCTTCACTCTCCACTAAATGCAAACTTCTCCTCCTGTGATTCAGAGTTCTCTGTAACTGGGCAACTCTATCTTCCACAGAGCCAAACAGCCGCACCTGCTCATTCTGCCAAAGCACTGCTTTAGAAAACCCATCCCAGGTCTCTTCATCAATAACACTGGTCGAACTTGCAGGCCCAGCAGGGGTTGTGGTATATTTCTTCCTGTAGATTTGCTTTCCTCTCCCTCTTCCTTCCTTCTTTTCCCCTCCCAATACACTCACACAAACATGTGCATGTGCACACACACACATACACACACAAAGCAATTACCTCTCTAAATACAGAAGGACCCTTACCTGAAATAATCAGCAAAAATCAAGGATGTGCAGATGTCATACAAGGAGCAAAGGGGAAAAGAGATGCACAGGGAATATAGGGAAATCCCAAATTTTAACCAATAACCAACATGACCCCTTGCTGCTACACTAACACAGGCATCTGTGACACAAATCCATCCTCGGAAGGATGAATCGGGGCCAGAAAAGACTTTCCTGAGGCTGTCCAAAGGCAAGTAGAATTCTTTTCCAATGTCAATGGGCCTTGAGACAGAAGTGAATATGCCTTAAAATTATGAGAATTTCTTTTCCTTGACACCAAGGAGTTAAATTTTAAAAATGTGCATTGTACACAACTATTAGAGGAAAAGAGGAAGGGAAGAGAATGTGGCCGTTTCCTTCCTCAGTCAAAAAGAAAAAACGTGTTTAAATAAAACAATGAGAAGCCTGTGTCATTATCAGACACTGTGTATATATATTGGCTGGTAAGCTATGAATCTCTGGCACAGCGTGGAGCTTTGCTGGCCACGGAAATACAGCCTTCTCGCAATGCCTCTTGTATGAACACTGTTGAAAACATTGGTGGTGTGTGTGTGCATGTCTATGTACGTGTGAGTCTATGTCTTAACATAACCCCATACAGGCTGCTTTGAGAAGAATCCATTTCCCTTTCATCAAAGCTGCCCAGGGCAAGTCTGATTAGTTGGCAGAGTGAAAAAAAAAAAGGACCGGACAGAAGAAAAATGTCCTCTGTCCCTTCATCTTCACTGTACTCTTTAATACAGGAGACTTTGAAGTTGAGTGTCATAACACAGTATTTCCTAAGCTTCGTTTGGTTGACCTAGCCTGCGACCCTGTGGGGACCCTTGGGGAAGCACACACCTTCACCCTCACCCCATAGAGAAATAGATCCTTCACCACCCATCCCCTCAGCCCCACCCACTCTATCTCTGCACACACACACATCCAACACCCCACTTCTCTCTTCACCATGATTACTAGAGCCTCCACCCTCAACTTCCCTAAATCAGAAATTGGCAAAGAGCCCCCGGAAATGGATGTCCTCCCAATGAGCCAAAGTTGTGCTTTGCACTGTTTGGATAAAGGTATTCTAACAGAATACCCGGAAGTCACAGAATATACTCATTAAACATAGCTACCAGTTAATAAGCTCTTAAAATGTCTTGGGACTCCCAACAAAGAGTTTTCTGAGGACAGAGAGTCAGGTTGGTGCCTAGGTCCTGCTTGGGAATAAGATTTTGTTTCAGAGAACACTTACTACATTCTACTGAGAATGTTTCAGGGACTGAATCAGGTTCTCTTGGGAAAAAATGCTACTGTGAATCTGTGACATCTGCCTCGGGCTTAGAGAAGGGAGTGGCATATGTGCCATCCGCAGTGGGGTACATTCTCAGGCATTCTCTCATTTGATCCTCACAGTTTCCTGCACAATAAATACCATTCTCATTTCATAAACAAGGCATCTGAGTGTCTTGCACTCAGAAGGGAAGGGCTGCCTTGTGTCTGGGAGGTGTGGGTTCCTTTAAAGAATGGCCGTCTTTAGGATTTCCCTGGCAACCTGGCTGAAGCTTTCTTGGACCTGCACCATACGGATTTCCTCCCTCTGCCTTCCGCTAGGGTTGCGCCTGAATCTCCTCCAAGGGTTCTCCTAGCCTCCCTAGCAGGACCCCTGCCCCTCTGGAGCGCCCCGCCTCTTGTCTTTGCTCCTAAGTAATAACTACAGTCAAGTCTAGCATAACCTGCTTGGGGATGTGCTGGGCCTGACCAGGAGAGAAAGCAAGTACCCGCCCAAGTTGCCGCAAGCACGGCTGTGCTCACTGGAAAACGCTAGGGGGCGCCCCTGGGTCTTCGCCACCCAAGCCAGAATGTAAGACTGGAGAAAGCAGGAATTCACTGACTCAAGGGCAATTTCTTCAGAGTCAGTATTTAACATCCTGGCAAGGACCCTGGGGATGGATAAATTTTCCTAGAGAAACCAACAGGCAATGCTGGGTGAAGTATAAATGGCCAAGCTGCCCTGGCAGGTTCTGAGGAAGGGATGAAGAGAACTGGACATTTTGGGTGATGTTCCATGGCAGGCTCAGAGGACACACTTTCCGCCAAGGCCACCACGGATGTGTTGGTGAGGTGGCACCAGCATCATCAAGATGCTCGGTGGTGGCTCTGCTTCACACGCCAGAGCTGACCACAGGTGTGATGGGCACAGAGCTGGGCTTATGAACACACACGGTCAGAATGTGGGAGGGCCCCGAAGCGCCAGTGTCATGGAAGCGGCACTGAACCACCAGAAGCCACCGGGCCACGACCGTCCTACTCACTTGTGAGGTCACAGAGGCAGAGATGTGGCCATGAGGGAGCTCTGGGAACGGTTAACAGAGCCGAAGGCAAAATAAACAGACAGCCAAGGGTGAGGTTTAATATCTACAACCACAATGAAGACGAGTAGAGGAGCAGGGGTTGTGGGGCTGGGCTGCCTCCGTAAAATGTCATGAGCCCCTCCTGAGTTTCTAGATCTGAGCCAATACACGCATTTTGAATCCATTGATTAAAGAGGTAGGACCCTGCAACACTCCAGCAAGCTCTACTGCCAGAATAGTTGCACTGGTTTCCTAGGGATGCTGTAACAAAGTATCGCCAAGTAGGTGGCTTACAATAACGGAAATTTATTCTCTGCCTGTTCTGGTGGCCAGAAGTCTGAGATCAAGGTGTTGGTAAGGCCACGCTCCCTCTAGAACCTCAGGGGAGTCCTTCCTTGCCTCTTCCTAGCTTTTGGTAGCTTGCCAACAATCCTCAGCCTTCCTTGGCGTGTAGATGCATTCCCCCCAACCCTCTGTCTTCACATGGCCTTCTCCGTGGGTCTTCACATTGTGCACATGTGTCTCTGTGTTCACGTTACCCTTTTTTATAAAGACTCTAATCGTATTGGATAGGTCCTGCCCCAATGAACTGAACTCATCCTTATGTGGTTAAATCTGCGAAGATCTTAATTCCAAATAAGCTCACATTCACAGATATGGGGATTAGAATTTCACTATATCTTCTTTTAGGGAACATAATTCAACTATAATAGTCTTCCCCCGAAGGTCATTTGCTAGGTGACTAATGACTAGAGAAAGAGAAGACCCCTACAGTTCAAGGATTATTGGACGCACGATCTGAGTTAACATTGATAACTACAGACCCAAAGTGTCATCACAGCCCCCCTATTAGAGTGGGGGCCTACAGGGCCAGACTGTAAGTGGAGTCCTGGTTAATTTCCATCTCTTAGCAGCCCTGCTAGCTCCACTGACATGCCATGGTCACTTCCTTGTTTCCTACCTGCTCAGTTGTAATTGATATACTCGGTAGTTGGATTAGCTTCAACACTGAGTCCCCAGACCTTGAGATAAGATCTATCATATGGGGAACACAAAATAGAAACTTCTGGAAATACCTCCATCAGCCAAAGTAGTAAATAAAAAACAATATTGCATCTGAAAGGAACGGCAAGAATTTGTATGAATATTAAAGGGCTCAAAGGTATGAAATGGTGGTACTGACCATATCTCCATTTGATTCACCGGTCTGGCCTCTGCCAAAACTGAATAGATCTTAGGGAATGACTACAATCTACAACAAATTAAATAGTAGACTTGATCACAGGTGCTATGCTGGACATGGTCCATGGCATGCAGTCACTGACCTGATGGGAGATGCATTCTTTTCCATTCTAATCAAGAAAGAGGATTAGAAACAGTTTTCGTCCATGTGAGATGAAAAACAATAGTCAATTAGAGTTCTGCCTCAAGGCTATATGAAATCTGCTTTCCTCATAAAGAACACTGCAGCAGGTCCTAACCACAGTGCAAACACACCTACTGCTGGAGCCATGTGCTCTGGTGGACCCATGCAGTTGAACTTGTCAGTGGGACAAGATCCATCATAAGATGGACATGGTACATTCAAGATCAAATCTGGGCAGGACCATAGGGCACAAAAAGTTGTATGAGCTGGTAGTCTAGACCCCCACATTAGTACCAGGGGTCTGAAGTACCAGGGCCCCTCCCCAAGCATGCACCCACAGCCTTATTGGGAGAGGGGAAAGCAGTCCATAGGACCACTAAAGCATGGGAAGGAAATATGAGAGTGGACATGAAGTCCGGAGAGTTCTCAATTGCATGTTGGCACTCACCAAAAAGTATCTACCACATAAGAGGCACGGGATGCCCAAGCAGATCATTACAAAATTCCCTGGCCAGTTAACATTAGCCAGTCTTCATCATTGGCTAATCCAGAGCTGGTGCAATGCGCATATGAATGCAGTGGCTACAGTGGCAGAGATGGAGGCTGCGTATCAGCCCAGCTGCACAATCTCATGTGACAAGGCCAATGGAGCTAATGCCAGCAGCAGACACATTGCTGAGGCCCTGATATAAAGACCACTAGCCGCTTAGTGACGTATCTACACCTCTGGATCCCTTCCATCTTTTAAGAGTCAGTGGTTCATCTTCACAGGACAGGTAACTATTGCAGGTGTGGGTTCACTTTTACCACCTAAAGACCCTCAGTCAACACCAATATCCAGGGCTTCTGGGGTGACTGATCCACAGACATGGGATTCCACACCACCTAGTATTACACAAGGGGACCCACTTTGTGGAAAGGGAGGTGCAGGAGTGGTCCCACGGCCGTGGGATCCACCGATCAGAACACAAAGTGCACCCGTCAGAAGAAGCCTCACAGAATGCTAGAATGGCCTCCAAACAGTGTGGGTGAAGCCACAGCTCAGCAGCAATCCTCCAAATGGAGGGAGAGCCATCCTTCAGGACACATTACAGACACGTTGATGTTGCTGTGTCCCCAAAAGGAAGATACATGGGTCTGGGGACCAGGCAGTGGAAGCAGGTGTAGGCCCCTTTACCATCACTCCAAAGTGCCCACTGGGGAATGCAGTGCTTTCCCATTAAACTGAAGGCCGTAACTGCTGCCTTGGACTCCTGCGTCTCTGGGCCAACAGGTGAGGAGCCATCACCCAGGCAGGAGTCAGTGAGCCCAACCAGAAAGTGGAGGAGGGGCTCCCTTTACATGATGGGCCAGGAGAAATTCAGGCAGAACCCAGGGATCCCCTTGGGTGCTCTTGGTACTGCTGCGCCAGAGGTGCTGTGAATAGACCCTCCAGCAACCCCAAACTGGGAGGGGGATCAGGACCCTCCAGAAATGAGGTCTGGGTCACACCACCAGGTAAACCACCATGTCCTGCTGAGATGAGAGAGAACAGGGAGGGGAAAGCAGAGCGGATGGTGGGGATGACAGGATGGATGTAAGTTGGCCCCTCCTCCACTAAGTGTCCCCTCTACTGAACAGATCCCTGGGACACACACAGGAGCTGTTCCAGAAACATGTGTGGTGTAAATAGTTT